TGCCTAACCCAAGCCATGGTATTTTCAATCGCTTCATATGCATGCGAAAGCTGGATGATGAATAAAGAAGACGGAGAATTGACGTCTTTGAATTACGGTGTTAGTGAAGAATATTGGATATACCGTGGACTGCCGGAAGAAGGAACAAATCTGTCTTGGAAGAAGTTCAGCCAGAATGTTCCTTAGAAACAAGAATGGCGAGACTAAATCTCACATACTTTGGACGTGTTATCAGAAAGGATCAGTTCCTGGAGAAGGACATTATGCTTGGTAAAGTAGAGGGTCAGTGAAAAAGAGGAAGACCCTCAGCGAGATGGATTGGCACAGTGGCTGCAACAAGGGCTCAAGCATAACAACTATTGTGAGGATGGCTCAGGACTGGGCAGTGTTTCGTTCTGTTGTACATAGGGTCGCTATGAGTTGGAACCGACTTGACAACACCTAACAATAATGTGGCCTAGATAAGAAATGAAATTGATTAAAGGCTCAAGAAATACAAAAAAGGAGAAAAATTCCAATTAAAATGTTAAACAAAATAGTCTAGTTCTCTATAGATATGAAATTTATCCATAGAAGCTAATAAATATTTTGTGCCCCTCCCCCCTGTCTCCCTTGTTCCCTTCACCTCCCAGTCAGAGCAGTTTTCCACTTGCCTCCCTAAATGAGAGGAAAAAAACCAGTTCTTTACCTCAATTCAAAGACATTACTCCCGGGAATGTCTGTTCAGAGGGAAAAGCTGTTGGTGATTTTCCACTTACACTGTACCTAGCCTGGCTAGAATGCAGGAATTTTAGAGATGGAAAGCTTTCCTTGTGGGTCAGCTGGCCATGCGGAGGGGCTGTGGGGACCAGGTCTTAAGTAAATATTTGATGAATGAATGAATGAATCTGTGGAAGAAATGATGCCCTGTGTTTTTATTAGAATAACATGTAGGTAACTGCCTTCTCTTTCAGTTTGGAAAAGGAAATAAACTGTTTTCATTCTTGTCATTTCCCCTGTTTTACTTCAACACTGCTGAAACTTTTCTGAGAGGAGGATTTCAGATTTCTTGATTCTGCTTCCTCTTCAGTGAAACCTAGGAGTTCCTTATGACAGTGTAGTTCCTGATTTGGGGTGTGTGAGGGAGACACTGCTCATTTGAAATTTTGGTGAGCAGGGACCAGAGGGGATGGAAATTCATGAGGAGGTGTCTGTACTGACAGAGTCTGCGTGGAGAGGGTTCTGATGCCCTGTTAGCTCTTTCCTTCCAGCAATATCAGGCTGTAAAGGAAAGAAGGGAATGGAGGTGGAGGGGGTTAATGTATGTGCTGCAGCTGGCCTGGAGATCTACTTGGAGAGGCTTCCTACGGTCGACTACTGGGCATACTCAGGAGGGAGTAGGGTTAGATAACTAAGATCAGCCTTGGGGCAATCAGAACAGAACCTGTGTAATAAATCCCTCTAATTCTAGGACGCCTTTTCTGGTCTCAGAAGGGAAATGTCTATTTGTTCCAGCCGTGTGGCTTCAGTTGTGGTGTCACTCCTTCTGGCTTAGAAGCAGCTCTTGGCAAATGAAGTAGGTGGCTTTTACGTGGTATCATGGGCGCCAATCAGTTCTCAGATTCAAGTTGCGTTCCTAAGGGTTATGCCTGTCACTCTTTAAAACAGAGGAGAAAGGAGGGGAGGATGGAGGCGGGGAAACAGACACTCAAGGCCAGGACACGGGAGCACCATTTCATAATTTACTCACAGCAGGGCCTGTTTTGTTTCTAAAGTTTGTAAAAGAAAACTTCGTTGTATATTCTTTTCTCTCTTTTTCAGAATGTAAATATATGTCCTTAAAAGTGAATAGGAGGGATTACCTGGGTACACACTGTGTGCTTGAGAGCTTTGTCACAAGTACTATTACCCTTCTTGACTCCAGATGACTATTAAAATATATTTTTTTAAAGTGTAAAAAAAAATCTCTTAAATGTTTATAACTATGAGCTAAGTGATTTTGGAAACTTTCATGTAAATGTTAGACCTTGAGATTTTTATTTACATGTATCAAATGATTCTTCAAAATATTTTAAATCACCCAAGAGTTTTCTTATATAACTTCATCTCTAAAGCCACAAGGTAGAGGTCAAAATTCGAGCTTCTGAAGACATGATGTGGTGATCTTTGCAATCTTCCATAAAATCTGGCTATTTTATCTAGCCATCTTGTTATGGGTAGATGAAGCAGGGCCATCGAGTAGGACATAATAAACACTGTGAGACTGTGCCACTGGTGCTGTTAATCCATGAGTCATTTTTCCAGTTGATAGTAGTGAATACTTAGAAGTAACCAGGGCATACAGTTTGTACCACAAATCCTACATAGTACCTGGAAGTGTCATTGTAACTGCCAAAGAGGTTAAAAAAAAAAAAATCCTGATGTCTGAGAAACTGGACTTTAATCCCTCTATTGTAAAAGATTCGCTGCCTTAATGTAAGTTTATAAACACAACAAAGATGAGGAAATTTTTGTTTTTCATACAGAGTACAAGAATCAGCATGGCATTCAGTGTTCCTGGTACTTTTCCTCACAACATCTTCTCTTTTATTTGTTCTTAGGTTTCATTATCCTTTTACCCTTGTCATCATTCAAACACCATCCTTGCTGCTTTTGGGTCACAGGCCTCATATGGCCTCCTGCTCCTGCAGTCAGGGCTCCTTGAAAGCTGGTTTCTTTTGATAGCAATATTTTCCTGCCCAGAACTCATGATGTTGACATGGTGCTACACCTCACCTCTTCTTCTGTCTCTGAACTGCTCCCCCTTCAGAGGACACAGGCAGCCACCCAGCTGCTCAAGTCTTTAGGCAGGTAAGTCCTGCTGAGCAATTCCCTGTTCTTAGCCCCTCTCTAACCCACACCAAGTCTTATCCATTTTACCTCCTAAATAACCTCCTAATCCGTGCGTCTTCAGCTTCCCTTGTCACCACTCTCACTTGTACTACTGCACGAACCTCCTCAGTAGTTCGGCCTGGGTAGAGATGGGCCTCCTGAGACTGGAGGGATGCCAAGTGCTATCAGTGGTAGGGGCCTGCATCAATTCCCATGCACGCCATGGGAGGCCACAGAAACTCTGTAATAGGATTGGCTCTGAACATTGAGCACTGAGGCCTGAGAACCCTAGGTCTGGCCAGCATTGATGTACAGGGAGTGCCTGCTCTGGGCACATGGCTGGACCACAGCACCTCTCTCAGAGGTGCATTAGGAGCCAGAAGAAGAGATTAAAAATGAGAAAAAATGCATTTCCTATTCACCCACATGTTTACCAGTTCTTCCACTCTTCATTCTTTGTTGACAAAAATTTCCATCTGGTGTCATGTCCCTTCTGTCTAAAGAACTTCCTTTAACATTTCCTCAGCGGAGATCTGCTGGTGGTGGCTCTCTCAGCTTTAGTTTGTCAGGAAAAACCTTTATTTTGCTTTAATTTCTGAATGATATTTTTGGTAGGTATAGAATTCTAGGTTAATAGTTTTTTTGTTTTTTTCCTTTCAGCTATGTAAAGATTTTGTTCCATTGCCCTCTGGCTTCTATAGTTTCTCACGAAAAGTCTTCGTCATTCTGGCTTTTGTCCCTCTGTAAGTAATTTGTCTTTTTTCTGTGGCTATTTTTAAGACTTTTCTCTTTGTCCATTTTTTTCAGTGGTTTCAGTGCCTTGGTATGCTTCCATGTCTCCACTTAATATATTCAGTCTTTTCTCTGGTTTCTTGAACATAGGGAATACAGGTATTACAGATGTTTTAAGGTCTTTGCTAATTCTATCATCCTTGTCATTTCTGGGTTTGTTCTTATTAGTGTATTTTTCTCCTGATTATCGGTCATATTTTCCTGCTTCTTGGTATGTCTGCTAATTTTTTATTAGTTACTGGCTATTGTGAATTTACTCAAAATACACTGTTGAGTAATATATTCACTTAAAGTGTGTTGTGCTTTATTCTGACACACCATTGTGTTACTGTAGATATTTGATTCTTTTGAGGCTTGCTTTTAAGCTCGGTTAGAGAAGTTTTGGGCTAGGGCTAATTTAGCCCCACTACTAAGCTCTGTCCTATAGGGTCGCTATGAGTCAGAATCAACTCAGTGGCAATGGGTTTGGGTTTTTTACTAAGGTGAGAAACTTCTGAGGACTCTACATACTGCTCTATGTATTATAAGATCTTTTCATTCTGGCTGGTGGGAATGAGAATTATTCCCATCTCCATGTGATCTGCAGCAATCGTTTGGATTAATATTTTCCTGTGGCTCTTTTTCTATGCAAGCACAGAGCAGTAATCAGCTGAAGACGCCTCTGCAGCTCTCCAGAGCTCCCTCTTGGTACAACTGCCTTCTGTTTAGTACTCTTTCCCACAAATTCTGGCCACCTCAGCTTCCTTGAATTTCAATCTCTATCTCCTCAACCTAACAAGATGGATAGGTTCTTTGTGGGTTCCCCTGGCTGGACTGCAGCCTGAGAACCTCCAGGCCATGAGCTGGAGCAATCATAGGTCTCTCCCCACATTTTCCCCTTCTCTCACGGCTGACAATCCTGCACTGTCTATTATCCAATGTCCCAAATCAGTTTTTTATTAATGTGTTTTGCCCGTTTTTCTAGTTGTTTATGGTGAAAGGACAGTTTCCGCACAATGCTCCTTTGTGGGCAGAAGTCCCTGGTAGTGTAGTTTTACATTTGTTTCTCTGGGGTCCAGGACATTTACCATTTTTATGAGAATTCTTGGCATGGGATACTACACAATGTGGTGCTGTAAATTTGGACCCCCCACACACGCAGTACTAGCTTGAAGAATCCACTGGTTGCTTTTCTACCCAGAACCACCCCCAGGCAGATGGCAGCTTCCTTATAGCTTCTCTGTGTCAGTTGGTGATATTTTTACTAGTCTTATTTTTTTACTCAGCCACCCTTTGTGCATCCCAGCTGTCATGGATTGAATTGTGTCCCCTCAAAATACATGTCAACTTAGGCTAGGCCATGTTTCCCAGTGCTGTGTGATTGTCTACCATTTTGTCATCTGATGTGATTACTCTATGTGTTGTAAATCCTACCTCTATGATGTTAATGAGGTAGGATTAGAGGCAGTTGTTTTAAAGAGGCAAGACTCAATCTACAAGATTAGGTTGTATCTTAAACCAATCTCTTTTGAGATAGAAAAGAGAGAAGCGAGCAGAGAGACAGGGAGACCTCATATCATCAAGAAACAAGAGCCAGGAGAATAGCACATCCTTTGGACCCGGAGTTCCGTGCTGAGAAGCTCCTAGTCCAGGGGAAGATTGATGCAAGGACCTTCCTCCAGAGCCGACAGAGAGAGAACGCCTTCCCCTGGAGCTGATGCCCTGAATTTGGAATTCTAGCCTACTAGACTGTGAGAAAATAAATTTCTCTTTGTTAAAGCCATTCACTTGTGGTATTTCTGCTATAGCAACAGCACTAGATGACTAAGACACCAGCTTTGTACCAAGGTCTTGGTACCAGCTCCCCGTCTTGAACGCTGAGTCCACATCTGTGTTTCTAGCTAGCATGAGTATTAAACTCCATTCTCAGGCTCTAGGGCCTCTTCTAGGTAAAATTGTCATTTTTGCATTGTGGACTCTTGGGCATATTTTATTTTTATGTACTTACAATGTTGTAGTGGCACAGTGCTTAAGAGCTCGGCTGCTAACCAAATGATTGGCAGTTCAAATCCATTAGCCACTCCTTGGAAACCTTATGGGGCAGTTCTACTGTGTCCTATAGGGTCGTTGTGAGTTGGAATCGACTTAATAACAACGGGCTGATTTTTTTTTTGTAATGTTGTACATCATTTAGCCTACAAAGCTCAGCTTTGTGACTCTAATTTAAAACCTTTAATTGATTGTGATTTTATGTCGAAGTCTCACTAGATTTATAGACAATATGAGAACATCTAAGAGAACTCAAGATTTTCCATATTTTAAACACTTAGTTTAGCAGATAATTAAATTTATGTAAGTTCTTGTAAAGTTTTTGTTAGTCAGACAATAGTAACACTTAAAATGGAAAACAAACATATTAATTTATACAGTTCAATAAATTAAATGGAATTTAGTAATGCTATAAAAGCACCCTTGAGATTAATTTTTTAAATGGTTAGATTTTTAAATAGAATAAGATTTTAGAGCCAAATTTCAAAGATTTAGGTTTTTGTTTTATAATTTTATTTATTTTGTTGTTGAGAATATACACAGCAAAACATATACCAATTCAACAGCTTCTACATGTACCATTTAGTGACACAGATTACATTCTTTGAATTGTATAACCATTCTCACATTCCTTTTCTGAGTTGTTCCTCCCCCATTAACATAAGGTCATTGCCCCCTAAGGTTCCTATCTAATCTTTCAAGTTGCTGTTGTCAATTTGATCCCATATAGATAGTTTTTAAAGAGCATAATGCTTAAGGCAGATATTTTGTACTAGTTAAGCTAAACTACTGTTTGGTTTTAAGAAGACTCCAGGGGATATTTTTGGTTCAAAGTTTAAAGCTTATCTCAGGGCAATAGTTTCAGGGGTTTATCCAATCTTCATGGCTCCAGAACATCTGGAGTCCAGGATAATTTTAAATTCTGTTCTACATTTTCCCCCTTTTGATCAGGATTCTTCTATGGACTCTTTGATCAAAATGTTCAGAAGATCTAGGTTTTTTAATTTGTCACTTTACTATATTGGATATTAATTTAAATATATTATATTAATTTTATAAAACTAAAATAAACTGTGAAGAATTCTTTCTGTGATCCAGCATAGTCCTCTGAGCACCAATAGCTCCCAGTTGACGTCACAGATTCATAAATTCTTCTGCATTAGAAAGTACCTTCAGAAAAATTGAACTGATGGATCTACAGTTTTGTTTATATTCTTCCCTGAAGAAATGTGTTTTATCTAAGTTATCAAATCACAATGTAGTTGATTTAGTTTGGTCATTATAATGGTTGAAATAATTCTCATAACAATTTCACTGAGAAGTCTCAGCTTATAGAGCTATGAATACGAAAGTTATTTCTCTCACTAGCTGCCACCAACTGTGCCCATCAATCCCTCTCTGCTGGGTGGCAGGGATCTTAGTGAAAGCACAGCTTGATTTCACAAGTTTCCACACACAGAATTTAGGACACATTGTTTTAGAGTTTCATTTTCATCTGATTATATGTACTTTTTGTCTTCCGCCAGTCTGGGTTCCACTGGCTGGGAAGTGTGGGAGGGGTCCTTTAGGGAGTCTTATGGGACTTTTCAGAGTCCCTGTGTGGTGCAAATGATTAACGCACTTGGCTCCTAACTGAAAGGTTGGCAATTTGAACTCACTCAGAGGCACCTTGGAAGAAAGACCTGGTGACCTACAGGTAGTCCCTGACTTACAATGTATTCAAGTTATGATGATCCACACTTATGACTGTCCTTTTTTTTTTTGTGCTTTAGGTGAAGGTTTACAGAGCAAATTAGTTTCTCATTAAACAATTAATACATATACTGTTTTGTGACATTGGTTGCTGTCATGGATTGAATTATGTCCCCCCAAAAATGTGTGTATCAATTTGGCTGGGCCAAGATTTCTGGTACTGTGTGACTTTCCTATATGTTGTAAATCCCATCTCTATGATGTTAATGAGGGAGGATGGGTGGCAGTTGAGTTGGTGAGGCAGGACTCAATCTAGAAGATTGGATTGTATCCTGAGGCAATCTCTTGAGATATAAAAGAAAGAAGCGAACAGAGAGACAGGGGGACCTCATACCACCAAGAAAGCAGTGCCAGAAGCAGAGCATGTACTTTGGACCTGGGGTCCCTGCACGGGGAAGCTCCTAATCTGGGGGAACACTGATGAGAAGAAGGCTGACAGAGACAGAAAGCCTTCCCCTGGAGCTGACGCCCTGAATTTGGACTTTTAGCCTACTTTACTGTGAGGAAATAAACTTCTCTTTGTTAAAGCCATCCACTTGTGGCATTTCTCTTATAGCAGCACTAGATGACTAAGACAGTTACCAACCCCATGACGTGTCAGCACTCTCCCCTTCTCGACCTTGGCTTCCCCATTTCCATTCGTCCAGCTTTCCTGTCCCCTCTTTCTTCTCCTCCTTGCCCCTGGGCTGATGTTCCCATTTAGTCTTGTGTACATGGTTGAGCTATGGGTATTATTATTTGTTTTATGGGCCTGTCTAATCAAGTGACTTCAGTACTGAGTTAAAAGGTGTCTGGTGGTCATACTCTCAGAGTTTCTTTAGGCTTTGTCAGACCAGTAAGTCTGGTCTTTTTTTTTTGTGAGTTTGAATTTTGTTCTCCAGCTCTGTCTGGGACTCTCTATTGTGATCCCTGTCAGAGCAGTTGGTGGTGGTAGCTGGGCACCATCTAATTGTGCTGGACTCAGTCTGGTAGAGGCTGTGGTGGTTGTGGTCCATTAGTCCTTTAATCTTTCCCTTGTGTCTTTGGTTTTCTTCATTCTCCCTTGCTCTAGATGGGGCGGGACAAGTAGACATATCTTAGATGGCCACTTACAAGCTTTTAAGACCCCAGATGCTACTCACCAAAATAGGGTGTAGAAAATTTCCTTATAAACTGCCAATTGAGATAGTTGTCCCCCGAGACCACGGTCCTCACCACTCAGCCCAGTAACTTGGTCCCTATGGGAGTTTGGATGTGTCTATGAAGCTTCCATGACTTTGCCTTGGTCAAGTTGTGCTGGCTTCCCCAGTATTGTGTACTGTCTTACCCTTCACCAAAGTTACCACTTACCTATTGTCTAGTGTTTTTCCCTTCTCACCCCTCTCCTCCGTCGTAACCATCAAAGATTGTTTTTTTCTGTGTATAAACATTTTCATGAGTTTTTATAATAGTGGTCTCATACAGTATTTTTCCTTTTGTGATTGACTTATCTCACTCAGCATAATGCCCTCCAGATTCATCCATGTTGTGAGATGTCTCCCAGATTCACCATTGTTCTTTTTCGTTGCGTAGTATTCCATTGTGTGTATGTACCATGGTTTCTTTATCCAGTCATCTGTTGATGGGCACTTAGGTTGTTTCCATCTTTTTGCTATTGTGAATAATGCTGCAATGAACATGGGTGTGCATCTGTCTATTTGTGTGACGGCTCTTATCTTTTTTTTTGGTACATCTTATCGTTAGTAATATGTACTACATACAATGTGGCAGTGTGTAATTTGCTGATGTTATCATTCTCATGCCAATCTCCAAAGACAAATAAAAATCAGATTTATAAAGATACTGATAATAAAAGGCAATACTAATGAAAAAAATTTTTTTTAAAAAAGAGGTATTCAGCTTACGTTGGAACTGACTTATGACTGAGTCATTGGAATGGAACTGCGATTTACAACGGGGACTACCTGTACTTCCAAAATATCAGCCATTGAAAACCCTATGGAGCACAGTTCTACTCTGACACACATTGGGTCTCCATGGGTCAGATCTGACTTGATGGCTTCTGGTAACTAGTATGCGGTTTCTCACCTGCCCAGGCCCTTGGTGTGGGAGATAGGCCCCTGCTTGACCTCTTTCCCTTTCTTTGGCTTCCCTTTCAGATGTCCACCCTGAGGGCCCTTTCCTTCTGAGTCCACTTGTCCAGAGGTAGCCGCCTCGTGGAGGGGAGGGAGAACTTCAGTCAGCTCAAGGCCAGCACCTTCTTCAGGTCCCCTTGACCCTAAGGAAACTCACTTACTTGCCATGCCTGATAGTGAGGTTGTGGCCATCTTGCTCCTTCCAGTGCTCAAAGTCCAACAACAGCATCAGGCACTCTGCTGGACACTGGAATTGCCAATAGTCAGATGAGAGGCATTTCCACCCCCAACTCTGTCAAGGGGAGAATGTGTATGTGCCCCTCAGCTGTAGAGGGCATCTCTGGCTCCTTCCCTGACCCTTGCCAGGAGAAAGAAGGGGGGGAACCCTCTCTATCATTGCTGTTTATCTCCAGCGGTGTGTAGGTGACTGTGTGTGTGTGTGCGAGTGTGTGTGTGGGTGTGGTGGGGGACAGGGAGGAGGAAGAGCAGGATGGAACTTCCTGAGGCAGCTTCTGCTGGAAGGCTGCCTCTCAATAAGCCCTGTAGGGAGGGGAATCCCAACAGCTGACAGTTCTCTGAACTTAGAATGTGGGTTCTTTAGTGCCTTTTATTCTTAGCTGTGGGTCTTCACCGCCATTTCTGGCACTAGACACCCTACACCATCCTATCACACTGAATTC